CTTGTGATCTGAATCTCATGGAAACATCTGAGCTGCATGATAATCATGATCATGATCCAATTCTTATCTATCCCTCCATTTCGGAAATGAAGAAAGGGACAGAACCAGTTGATATTGATCTATCCATTAGTCATGCCAGTGTATCTGGTGGATTCAGTACTTGTACAACAGGCAGCAAAGAGATTGAAATAATTGATCTAGAAAGTGATTCTGTTCAAGAAGGAAGACCTGCTGACAATAAGGAGAGAAAGTATGTTTTTCATTTGTGTATGTTTTTAAAATACTTTTTGGCATGAGCATGTTATATTTTTCACCGCTGCATCTTAATAATAGTGTTTGCTATGATCTAGTTGTCATATTTGAACCATAAATCCCTTTTTCCTATTCAATTACCACACTGTTAGCTGCGGCTGATTGTTTAGATTGTCTATTCCCTTATTCACCTTCCTGGTCACTTACTGATCTAAATTCATTTATATGCACAGGACAGAGGCAATGTTTGCAGGTCTTGAAGGCTTTTCTAACCACGCTCAAAATGCTGCTGAATTACATGATGTCCAGGATGGTGGTTATGGGCTAATGCTGTCAGAATGCTTGGGTCTGATTTCCCAAACTGTTCTTCAGTGCCAGGGGATATGAACTCTGTGCACAATGAAATGGGCCTTCATAATGGACCGGTACTATTGCAAGCTTGATACTCATTAGGAATTTAATTTATGCCCTGATATATATTTCATGAAAACTTGATGCTTACTGCATTTATTATAATCTACAGTGCTATAAAATTAAATGTCATTATTTTGAGCTGTGTTTTCTTTTTTTTTTTAATTTGATTTTTTTATGTGGCCAGACGTTAGCAGTTACCTATGTAATTATGATTAACTTAATTGGATATTCAACTTATTGTTTCAGGGAAACTTGGTGAGGATGATTCAATATATATGACGCTGGGGGAAATACCATTAAGTATGCCAGATTTCAATCAATGGTTTTCTTTTCATTGAGCATTTGTGATGTGTTAGTTGATTTTGGATGTCATGAGAATTATTTGGAGAAGCCATAACTCACGTTAGGTTAATCTTATTTACTTATATACATGCATATATACGTGGTTTATAGAGAAGTGGATGCATTTTAGTAAATTACCCTTTAAGAGCTAAAGTTGATGCATGGCAACAAGCCTTAGAGATACAATAACCACAACATTGATCTGTTTCCTGCGTTGTTCTCACATATCTTCCCATTTATGCTAGACGGCTTTCCTACAACCCAAATCTCCCTAATTGCCCCTATGATTAATTTCCAAACCACCTCTAATTCAAATGTAGCAATATTATCAGTATAAAGTTACTTCCTACTAGATAATGCAAACTTGAATAAAGATTCTAAATATAATTTTAGCCTTCTTAACCGTTAAAGATGTTGGATTTCTTCTCTATAGTAACTCTTCCCCAAGCTATGATTTTTGGCCTAATAGCTGAATTTGTTCGAGAGAGATTGCGCGATGAGAACTTTCACTTTGTTCAGGCCTAATGCTCTCCCTATAAGCCTATCTTCACATTCCACTCAAGCCTAATAAGTGATATAGCCACAAGAGACAATGTTCTAACATAGCAAGAGAAAAAAGGGAAACAAGTCTTTTTTTTTTTTTTTTGGAGGGTGGGGGGGGGGGAGATAAGAATATATATTCTTAACGTAGGATGGAGAGACAATTTGAAGGGCATGTGGGTAATAATGCAACTAACAGAGTGCAACATTGCGGGGGAAGGGGGTGAGCTGGAAGAGTGAGAAGTTGGCAAGTACGGGAGTACCCAAGGGGTAATCTTGAGTGGTAGAGGTAGTATCTTAACATGAGGTGATGGGAATTCTGAAAGGAATATATGGAGGGGCTTTAACCTCTTGAAAGCCAGGGAGTAATCTGTGCTTGCTGGATGCTGCAGCTGTGCTTCTCTGTTATTGTTGTTTTCCTCATATTACTTTTGGTCGTCTTGTCATAATATCTTGTAGACAGATTAATCCAGAAAACTTGATTGATTTAATGGAAACATTTGTACATATATAGGCACTAATACTAGGGTTACATAGGTGCTAGGAAAGGTAAGATGCACATAATCAAATCTAATTAAGTAAAACAAATAATCACAATAATTTCTAGAGATACTAGCCGAGATTCTAGGAATTAAACAATTAGCATAATAATTTGATGACTAAATGGGTTTTCAGCCCGTAACAACACTCCCCCTCAAGTTGGTGAATAGATGTCTATCATTCCCAACTTGCTTCTGAATTCTTCAAACAAAGGTCTTGGTAGGGCTTTTGTGAAGAGGTCTCCCACTTGGTAATATGAAGGCACGTGAGAAATCTTAATAATCCCTACTTCTTCCTTTTCTTTGATAAAATGCTTATTAATGTCCACGTGCTTCGTTCGTTCATGATAAATGGGATTTCTTACCATCCCAATGGCTAATAGGCTGTCACATTTTAGTTGAACGGGATAGTAGGTACAAGTCTTAGTTCCTTAGGACTCTTATTATCCCCACAAGCCATGGGCTTGTGCCCTTAGATCTGCTGCTGCACTACTTTTAGACACTACATTTTGCTTCTTGCTTCTCCAAGTAACAAGATTTTCCCAAACCATAGTGCAGTATCCTAAGGTTGGATCCTCCATAGTTTGCATCTGTATACACATGATCTCTCTTGATTTCCCTTTAGCAAAGAACAGATCACGAACTTGAGAATTGACCCTACTACTCGGCTGCATAACTTGTATTTGGGCGAGTATAGAGAGATATAGGAGTTTACCTACTAGTCTCTTATACCTCTCTGCATCCACTGGTGTTGACTCCTTCTTGGTCTTGGATTTGCTCTTCCTCTTCTTATCATTAGGAACTTTTACATATTCTTCCTTCTCTTCTTCTTCTTCTTTATTTTCCAACTTGTGAGCGTGATAATCTCCTAATTTTCAGGGATAGTATTCTATCTTTAATGTTATTCCTTTCCCTTTTAGAGCAAATTTGATGTATCTTGTAATTATTATAGAATTGCTTAATCCTAGGCTCTATACAGGATCTTACAGCTAATGGCATCCCATCTACACTATTTATGTATTGGGATTTACCCATCTAGTATATACAGAAAAGATTTCAGTCTCTCTTTATTTATGGTATCACGACCAAAGTAACAAGAGATGATTACCTTTAGGTTGATGGAAGCGTTCCATGCTGAGTCAGAACAAAAAAAACTCCCTTGGTTCTAGCAATGGAGTGCCAAAAGTGTCAAATCCCACTAATGTTTCAGTTTTGCAGACCCTGGAGAATATCATCACATATAGCCAATCATAGGCTGAACAAACATAACTACTTGCAATGGTCACATGCCATGTTAATGTATCTCAGAGGAAAGGGGTGAGAACAATACGTATCAAATTCTGCTGTGATGCCCGAGTCTACTGATTAATTCAAAACACCAGATCTGGGTTGTCAAGAACAATCAATTAATGGGTTGGCTCATCAACTCCATGACATTCGACATAAGTGAGCAATTTGTTTTGGCCACTAGTGCAAAGGAAATCTGGGAGAGTGCTCGAATCACTTATGCCACCATTGAAAATACAGTTGCACTCTTTCACATCTAGAAGGTCTCCTCCGTGAAACGACTCAAGGAAGTAATTTTGTTACTCAATATTACACTACTCTTATCAAACTCTGGTAGCAATTGGATTTATATGATCCTCAACAGTGGCACTGTAATGCTGACTTGGCTTGTTATGGGAAGATTGTTGAGCGCCAACATGTTTATGAGCGTTTACTAGACCTCAATCCAGCATATGAAGCGGTTCAAGCCTGGATCACGGCCACACACCCCCTGCTATCAGTTGCAAAAACAGTTAACTGGTGAAATATAAGGAGAGTTAACGACAACTCATTCAAAGCACGCTTGCTGCTGCTGCTGATTCATTAGCTTTGGTGGTAAAAGGAGGCATGGGGGCTAAACTTGGCAAGAAACAAGGGAAGGGGGTGGTGTGATTATTGTCAACAGAGTGGTCACACACGTGACACTTGCTGGAAGCTACGTGGAAAGCCTCCAAATCAGTTGACAAGGTAGGGAACCGAAGGCAGAGGCAATGTTGCAATAAGTGCACTGGAGGAAGACAATTCTAAAAGTCGCATACTATCGTTGATTGAGCTGGATTTGCTCAAGAAAATTCTTAGCCAGCATGAGCAACTAAATAAGCAAATTAGTGCTAGTAACCTAGCACAATCAAATATTAACCTAGCACAATCAAATATTATACTGTTTGATAATTCTTATAATAAGAAAATTCTAATACTTGCTTAATTGCTACAAACCTCCCTAAATGACACCTAGATAGTGGATTTGGGTGCCACTGATCATATGAGTGGAGATTATGCTGTTTTCTCTAGTTTGCAAGAGTATTTAAGTAACCAAGGGATTAAAGTAGCTAATGGTGACAGAAGCAAATTCAAGGAAGTGGTACAGTTGATCTCATAGGGAAGATCAAACTTCGTGATGTTCTTTTTGTATTAGGTCTCAATTGTAACCTAATAGCTATTAGCAAGATTACTAAAATGCTTCACTGCGTTGCTATTTTCTATGCTGACCATTGTATTTTCTAGGAAATAAGGTCGAGGGAGATGATTGGACAAGCTAGGAAACTTAGCAAATTATACTTCCTAGTTATGGATCATGAGAAGAAGATTGCTATTGCTGCCTCTAAGAATAATGATGTTGAATTGCTGTATTGTAGACTTGAACACCCTAGTTTTTCAAACATGAAGTTTTTGTATCAAAGTTATTTAATAAAGTTGATGCTTTATCATATGAGTTTTGCCAATTCTTTAAGCACACCAAGAGCTCCTACCCCTCAGCCCTATGAACCAACCAAACTTTTTTCCATTATTCACAGCGACATTTGGGGACCTTCCAAAACACACATTGTTAACCATCATCGCTGATTCGGCACTTTCATTAATGATTACGCAAGAACTACTTAGGTTTATCATATGAAGGAAAAATCCTAGGTGTTTAAAATTTTCAAAACTTTTCACAAGCTGATCCAAAATCAATTCAAGGCTGAAATTCAAATTTTTAGGAGTGATAATGCAAAAGAATACCTAAGCTAATCCTTTAGTCGATATCTTGAGTCTTATGGCACTATTCACCAAACCTCTTGTGCCTATACACCCCAATAAAATGGGATTGCTAAAATGAAAAGTAGACACCTCCTAGAAGTTACTAGAGCTGTCATGTTTACAAGACGTGTTCCAAATCAATTTTGGGGAGATATATTTCTTACTGCTGCTTTTCTTGTCAATAGAATGCCTTATTTAAAGCTCTTTAGCAAAATGTTGTTTGAAGCCTATCTTTCTATGCCTTTAGTAAACACGGTTCCTTAAAAGGTTTTTGAGTGTGTTGCCTTTGTCCACAACATGCATGGAAATAAGCTTGATACTAGGGCTCATAAATGTATTTTCTTGGGTTATTCAGCTACTCAAAAGGGTTATAGGTGTTACTCTCCTACTCTTGAATGATACTTTGTGTCAATGGATGTCACTTTCTTTCAAGAACAATCCTATTACCCCAAAAAGTCTATTCAGGGGGAGAATTTTGAGAGTGAACTGACTTTTTTCCCTCCTGTTCTTGATCCCATACCTGAAACCGCACCAACCACCTAGACCTGAATCACCTGAAATCACTTGAACCTCTAAATACGCAAAACAATACAGAACCTTGCCAAAATACCCAACACAGTACAGAGCCTCTCCAAAATACCCAAATCAGTACAGAGCTTGAACCTGTTACAAAATCTGAACCTGCTATAGAACTAGAAACTGATAAAAATACCACTGAACTAACACCTGAGAATGGCAACCTTGAGAATGTAGTGGATACAAATGCAGGGAGAGCAAAAAGACAGAAGAAGGAGGTCTTTATTTATAGGAGAG